GCGCGCCGATAGGCGTGCAGGGGTGGAGCACCAAGCATGCCCGCCCACTATCCCCGCCCTGCCAGGGCTACGTGTGTAGCATCGCCGCACGCTCTGATTTTCTGGACCTTGCAGGGACGGTGGGTTGCTGAAAGCGCAGGTGCCAGATTTCCTGGTTCACTTACTGCCTTGTGCTCTCAGTAACCCCACTCACCCCTACCTCGTCTCCTTTTGCGCGCTCGCTCTTTGTTGTTGATTTTTCCAGAGTGAGCAGAGCAATGAGGAATTCGCATCAGTGGGTTTCAATGTGAAAATTAGTGATTTAAAGAAAAAAAAAAGAAAAAACAAAGGTGACTAATGGCATCCCAGCTTTTAATTAGACATCCCCTACCCTTATCCCCCCCTCCCCCCGTAGTGATGTCCTGGCAATCGCCAGTTTTTAAAGCCCCCCGGGGGGCTCCAGCCAGAGGCTAAGTTTAGGAAATGTCCGTTTGGATAGACTTAAAGTAGACGACTTCTAAGTATTTCTCCTGGCCCCTGGCGAGCTTTGTGCCTTCTTTTTAGCCCAACTCCTTATCCAACCTAAAATAACTACTTTCCTGAATTCTAAACAGGGTACAAACGTAGAATGGAGACCGGAGCGGCAGACTGAGCTGAAGTGAACCATCTCCCACGCTGTCAGAGGGAATTAATGAGGTAGACATTTGCTTGCAAGGAAGGATGGCCTGAGAGACTTACACACTGAGATTTTAGGAGTATTTACAAGACCCAGCACAGCTGTAACTGGTCACAGCTGTAATAGTCTGAATTCCAATTAACATGTTATAAACTATTTGTTAAAAGGTCATTTGTGCTGCACTTCCCTCTGGCCGTTTGAAAGCTGGTAGAGCGGCCGGTCAGTTTTTTGACTTGGTGCTGAGGTGTAGAATGGATGAGATGAGATGTGGCCATTCAACATCACATGCTGGGAGCAGATACCCACCAACTGTATCCTCGAAGCCCTCTTTCACCTTTATCCCCCCCCCCCCCCAAGTCACATTTTCTAGCCAATGAGAAGACCCCTGCCCCGTAAAGAAGCCTGTGTGATAGTTTTTGCAGTAGTGATGACTGAATTTAGGCCTTATCCATGTCTGGCTAGTGCTCTACCAGTGAGCTATATCCTCAGACCTGTGGGGAAGGGTCTGCAAGAATCTTTCAATGAGACATCAAGGCCTTTGTGACCATAGACTGGGTCCCTGGGGTGCAAATATTAATGGGAGACACCCCCTCCCCCAACCTCACTACTGAGAGTGAAGGGCAAGGGGGGGGGAAAGAAACCTAAAATCCAGGAAACTCTGCAGGGCATTGGCCAGGGGCACAGGACAAGTGTCTTTGGCTCCCTACTGCCCCCCCCCAGCAGAGTTTCCTGGTAAAAGGATAGATGATTTCATGGCCTTCATTTCCTCAGGCTAAAACCAGGACAGAATGGTAAAGAAACATTCTAACCGAGACACTTTTGTAATGTTGGATTCCAGAAACCCAAACCTCTGCGATGAATTCTGTGCACCTCTATTGAGCATCATTGCATGCCAGTGATGGTCTGCAGGGTCTGGTCTGCAGAAGATGGATAAGATATGAATCTGTCAAGAGTGAGCCATGTAAAGACTGCCACAGAAGAAACATAACCTAGACTTAAACACACACACACACACACACACACACACACACACACACACACACCCA